AGCAAATAGAGAGGGGGTAGATGGGATCAAAATTTTGTTGAAAATAAGAAAAAGTTTTGGGGTGAATTAACAAGTTAAAGGGAAACCAAGAACAAAAAGGATTTGTCAGTTAAAAAAAGGAGAGGGAGTTATTAAAAAGGAAGTTAAGGTATTTAAGTGGGGGGGAATATTTTTTAGGAAATTTTTTAAATGTTGATGAAGATAGGAACGTGATTTTTGTGTATAAGGCAAGGAGGAATAACATCTTGTAGAATGAGGAAGAGCCGTGTAGTGTGGGGGAAGTTCGTAGGCTAGGTAAAATGAAAGGGGGGAAGGCAGCCGGGATTGATGGGATAAAGAAAAAATTTTTTAAAAACGGGGGGGATATAGTTTTGGAGTGGTTGGGGGCAATTATTTTAAAAAATGATGGAAGAGGGAAGGTACCTAGGGATTGGCAAGAGCATCTTAGTTCCTTTTTTAAAAAGGCAAAGGGGGGAAAAGAGAGTGCAAAAATTATGGGGAAAGTCTGTTGAGTATACCTGGGAAAGTTATGGTAGAGTTTTTTTGAAAGAATTAAAGTAAGACTAGAATAGGATAGCAGTGAACAAGGGGGCTTTAGGAAAGGTAGGGGGTGGTGGACCAGGTGTTTACAGTGAAACATTAAGGAACAGTTTTAGATAAGGGTAAAAAGGCTTTGTGGGTTTTTTGGATTTGGGGAAAAAGGGGTAGACAGGGTGGATAGGGGGCAATGTGGGAGTGTTTCAGGTGATGGGGTAGGGGGTAGGTTACTGAAAGCAAGAAGATTTTTACGAGGATAGTGAGGCTCAAGTTAGAGTACAAGGGAAAGGGAAATTATTTCCCAGTAAAAGTAGGCCTTAAAAGGATGTGGATGTCACCGTGGTTGTTTAATATATTTATAGATGGGGTTGTAAGAGAAGTAAATGCGAGGGTCTTGACAAGAGGCGTGGAGTTAAAAGATAAAGAATCACACATAAAGTGGGAGTTGTCACAGTTGCTCTTTGCTGATGACACTGTGCTTTTGGGAGATTCTGAAGAGAAGTTGCAGAGATTGGTGGATGAATTTGGTAGGGTGTGCAAAAGAAGAAAATTAAAAGTGAATTCAGGAAAGAGTAAGGTTATGAGGATAACAAAAATATTAGGTGATGAAAGATTGGATATCAGATATGAGGGAGTATGGAGGAGGTGAATGTATTCAGATATTTGGGAGTGGACGTGTCAGCGGATGGGTCTATGAAAGATGAGGTGAATCATAGAATTGATGATGGGAAAAGGGTGAGTGGTGCACTTAGGAGTCTGTGGAGACAAAGAACTTTGTCCTTGGAGGCAAAGAGGGGAATGTATGAGAGTATAGTTTTAGCAACACTCTTATATGGGTGTGAAGCGTGGGTGATGAATGTTGCAGCGAGGAGAAGGCTGGAGGCAGTGGAGATGTCATGACTGAGGGCAATGTGTGGTGTGAATATAATGCAGAGAATTCGTAGTTTGGAAGTTAGGAGGAGGTGCGGGATTACCAAAACTGTTGTCCAGAGGGCTGAGGAAGGGTTGTTGAGGTGGTTCGGACATGTAGAGAGAATGGAGCGAAACAGAATGACTTCAAGAGTGTATCAGTCTGTAGTGGAAGGAAGGCGGGGTAGGGGTCGGCCTAGGAAAGGTTGGAGGGAGGGGGTAAAGGAGGTTTTGTGTGCGAGGGGCTTGGACTTCCAGCAGGCATGCGTGAGCGTGTTTGATAGGAGTGAATGGAGACAAATGGTTTTTAATACTTGACGTGCTGTTGGGGTGTGAGCAAAGTAACATTTATGAAGGGTTCAGGGAAACCGGCAGGCCGGACTTGAGTCCTGGAGATGGGAAGTACAGTGCCTGCACTCTGAAGGAGGGGTGTTTTAAAGTTTGCAGTTTAAAAACTGTAGTGTAAAGCACCCTTCTGGCAAGACAGTGATGGAGTGAATGATGGTGAAAGTTTTTCTTTTTCGGGCCACCCTGCCTTGGTGGGAATCGGCCAGTGTGATAATAAATAAAGGTATATATATATATATATATATATATATATATATATATATATATATATATATATATATATATATATATTATATATATATATATATATATATATATATATATATATATATATATATATATATATATATATATATATATATATATATATTAAATAATCAATCTGCAATAACTGTTAATTGTTTCAATGATAATTAATACTTCCAGATTGACTATTTTGCTGCCGATAATTTTGTGTTTGTGTTCAACATACCTCTTTCTGCAGCTGAGGCACAATGACCCAATTCCGCCAGTAAATTGCAAATACTATTTGTATCAGAGTGTTAATAAATCGATGCCAAATGGAGAAAGGGCGTGGAAAGTCGGAATTAATGTTGGGGACGTAGGCTGGGTTGAAGACATTGCCCAGGACGGCACTCTGACGGTAGTCAATGCCTGGTGTGTTGACCATGATGAAGGAAGCCTCGTGCAGGAACGGGTACACTAT